CTCGGGAAGACAAAAGGAAGCAACTTATCCAATATGTCACGCAATAGATCTCGAGCTATATAAACGGACAATGGATGGTACGATGAACACACCCTAACCTTTTATTCTAATTAATTCTGTTCAAGTATTCTGTGATTGCAGGTATGAGCACAGAAAATGAAGCAAAAACGACAATCACAGAGAAGAAACAAGAAGAAACTGAGATCTTCCATGATCCTCTAGAAGACAAGGGCATCCTAAACAAATTTCTAGCAAGCTCACAATATCTGCAAAATCTCCATCGTGATCCAACGGAACACGAATCACATGAATCATTTCACTCGGTTGGCAACACCATAGGATATGCCAATGTGGACAGTGTGCTAGAAAGGAGTGACAGTTTCGACTATTCACCATCAAGCACTCCTCCGAAAATGCCGTCTCCTCTCAAGTCCACAGCTAGCAGCAAGATGAAAAGGACCTAATGAATTATCTTAGATCACTTTGATAAGCTGTGGTTATGCTTGTCTTAAATAACTTTCATGTTTTTATGGTCTAATTTTATTATTGAAATCCTTTGTCTTGAATCTTCTGAATGCGTCTCTAACACGAAACCTAGCATCGTCATCTAAAATCTTTTGAACACATTTGCACGCAACCTTTGCACCTATAAATCAGAACCTCCTTCAACGAATTTTTCTCACACATCTAGTAGTTTAGTGAGTAACATTTGTAGGTATGGATAAGGGCAAAGGAAAGATGGACGAAGCCGAGAAACGAGCTATTCGGCGTGATCACCATCTTCTGGAAGCAAGCAAACTCACAGATGCCGCAATCATGAAACTAGTGGAAGATGGTGATAGGGTCAACGTAACATTCTCCATGCCAAACTCGGCTACCCTGAAAGAAAAAGAGATTCTGGACAATACTGTCAACGAATCTCAGGCCAAGAAAGCTTTTTATCTGGAACAAGCCAAACGTTTGGCAAACGAAAGGATAATGGCTTTGAAAAGTGCAGATAAGCACTCATCCCATCCACCTAGCTTTCGTCGGTATCCCTCTTTTGAAGCTCCACAAAAGAGTGAGAAATCTTATGAAGATTATACTCTAGTTCACTCTCAGTCACCAATCAACTCGACTCTGCCCACCCTCTCTTTAGAGAAACTGGACGAATACGCGAAAATGGCAAACTTGCCAGATGTAACTGATGAGTCGACTCGTCTAGAGCTTCACATGCCTTATCGTTTTCTTTAAATGTTGTTTATTTGTAAGGCTTGTGTACCTCTTCTTCATCTCATTTAATGCAATTTTCTGTTTTTATTACCGTTACTAATTGTCATCTTGACCTTGTTTCTATTATGTCAGAATATATCTTTTTGGTCAAAGTTGGAATTATTACACATGAACCATTTCTTAAAGTTTTAATCATGATATTGAATGAATAAGCTCTCATCTGGTTCAAAAACCACGAAGCGATAACTGTGTGTTATCTGCATGCTTTGGAATCTATTCTCTGACCTTGGAATCATCAGTTTCTTGAAAATATCTGGTCAAAGTCCTCTACAAAATTAATGGTCAGTTGAAGAAATTTATGGCTATTAATTACAGCATTGAATGCTGCATGTAGGGATGTCAAATGGGCCAGCCCACTGGGTTATGGACTGGCCGTGCAGGGTTGTTGGGCTTGTTGGTTTGGGCTAAATGGTTTTTTATTTTTTTCTTTGTGAGTTGGGTTGGCCCTAACCCTAAACATCGGGTTGTTGGGCTAATCCAACGGGCTCAATCATTACACAAAAATTTAAAAATAAGAGATGATTTTCACATTCGATGGAGAGGCCGGGATGAGTTTTGAAAAATCCACACACACACACACACACACACACACACACACACACACACACACACACACACACACACACACACATATATATATATATATATATATATAGGGGAGGATTCAAGTAGGAACCCATCCTTAGGTATGAACCTAGGAACCATTCTAAGCCATCCAAAAATTGGAAATCAATGATCAAGATCAATTTACAATTTAATTAGCAAATTAACCATAATTAATTACAAGGGATAATGGTGTCATTTTATTCATCATCCACTTAAAAGGAAATATTTAATTTGGATATTTTCCTTGATTTTAGGTGGCAACATGAAGAAGGATTGTTTATGAGTTTGGATTTAATTAGGATTGATTATGAGTTTGGATTTAATTAGGATTTGTTTATGCGTTTGTATTTAAACAAGAAGTTTTAAATCTTACAGGTCTTCTAATTTTAATTATATCAATTGTTTCATTATTCTAATGTAACATTACATATATATTGGTGTGCACTTGGATTATGTTGTGTGTGCCATAATGTGCAAAAATACTGAAAGAATGAAATCACAAAAATCATATTGATGTTAAAGACTATGTTGTGCACTTGGGTTAAACTGTGTGTGCCATAATGTAAATAATGAGTGTGCCGGTGAAAATACGTAAAACAAGTTGGTGTGCACTTGGGTTGATAGAATAGGGTGTGCACATGGGTTGAACTGTGTGCACTTGGGTTACATTGTGTGTGCCATAATTTGCAGAATTAGTTTGTGTATGAAAATATGTTAAACATTTTGGTGTGCACTTAGATTGTGCTGCGTGTGCACTCAAATATAATTGTGTGTGCACTTAGGTTAACGAGTTTGTGCCATGTTACTAAAAAAAATGATATACGAAATACCGTATGCAATTAGGTTAACAAATGTGTGCATCCACAAGTATATGAAATTTCGTTTGCACTTAGTTTAATGAATGCGTGCATCCACCAAAACCAGATTGATGTTAAAGACTATGTTGTACACATGGGTAAAGACTATGTTGTGCACATAGGTTAAACTGTGTGTGTCATTACGTAAATAATGAGTGTGTGAATGAAAAGACGTAAAACAAATTGGTGTGCACTTGGGTTGAGATAAGTACACCGTGTACATATTAGCACAATGGAATGTGCATGTGAGCGTTAAGCAAACGAAGACAGTGATGGTTGGTTAAAATGGATTACAATCAAAATCAATTTTAACAACCCAATATCATCAACACAGTAAATGAATTGCAATTAAAATCAATGTTAATTGAAAATTTAAATCTACTTCAACCACTAACCACTAAAGCTCCACGAACCACATGCCAAGCATCCCAAACCCACAATTAACATCCTCATTTTTCAATTGCATTTCATGATTTAAGGTGGTGACCAAACCAATGTTAATTGAAAATTTAAATCTACTTCAACCACTAAAGCTCCACGAACCACATGCCAAGCATCCCAGACCCACAATTAACATCCTCATTTTTCAATTGCATTTCATGATTTAAGGTGTTGACCAAACTCTTACGCTTATACAATTTTTTTTTTTTGGAAAAAAAAAGAAAAAAAAATCCATTCTCCTCTCTCCTTGGTACTATTTTATTGTTTGTAGATCGTCATCCTCAACGTTCACTTGCGATTCTACTTGGTGTTCACGAATAACCCGAGACTCCTTACCTGCACAGAATATTGGGGTGCAATAAATACACAATATAGAAGAAAACAAAGGATATATGCACATACAAATATATATATATATATATATATATATATATATATATATATATATATATATATATATATGCACACACAAATTTGTGCAATTGCACATGCCAATACTAGCCAACCTAAAATGTACACAACAAAGTATACTAGTCAACACTGCCAACTGCAACCCCACACACCACCACAAAGAATATATGCACACACAACCCAACTTCAATGCACACAGCAGATCATACTAAAAACACTTCAAACTGGCCAAAAGAACACAAAAAAGAAAAAAAGAAAAAAAAAAGAATATATGCACCCACAAATGTTCGTAACTACACACCCGAATACCAACCAGCCTAAACATGCAAACACATTCCAACTAATATGCACACAACCAAATCTTATTGTATTAATACTCTTGAAATAAATAAATAAATAAACAAAACAAACCTAGAAAACTCCTTTGTCGGCTTCTTCAATCTCGAGAAATTCGCATCATTTGCGTCCCCTTTAATTTCTTCAAATATGGCAATGGCAGAGGAAGGCCTCAATGCTAGAATGCAAACCCCTTTAATTTCTTCAACCTATACAAAATTTAATTGAGCAGAAGTTAGCGTCCTAGCATCCCTTTTTCGTCGGCTTCTAATTGAATATAATCCATTTTTCTAGGTTCCTTGGATGATTTTAGTCATTGACTGTTTTGCAGAGAATTCATTGTAAGGTTTCTAGCCCGTCGGCGCCATGAAACGGATAAGAAGATCTCACAATGTATTCCTTCCTAGATGCTGAGGAAGTGGGGAAACAGATGAGAGGATCTCGCAATTTCCTTAATCCACAAAAATACTATGCACTAAAATGCCCTAAATACCCCGCAATTATCTAAAATAAATAAAAATTAGTCCTAAAATTTCATAAAATATGTTTTAATATAAACCATTGATCACCCTAAATAAATGGTTATGATGAGTTCCTAGGTTCCTACCTAAGCATTGGTTCCTATATGATTGTTAGTATATATATATATATATATATATATATATATATATATATATATAATTCACATGCCACAAATCCATAATCAACATTAAAGTTCAAAACAAAAAATGTCACAAATCCACAATAAATACTAAAGTTCAAAACAAAAAATGTCACAAATCCACAATCAACATAAAGTTCAAAATAAAAAATATCACAAATCCACAATAAATACTAAGGTTCAAAACAAAAAATGTCACAAATCCACAATAAATACTAAAGTTCAAAACAAAAAATGCCACAAATCCACAAGCAACATTAAAGTTCAAAACAAAAAACAAATCAAATGTAAAATAACAATCTTCTTTTTTCCTTATTCCACCCCCCCCCCCCCCCCGCAACATATGAAGCTCCAACACCAACTTCACCAACTTAATCTTCATCTTCACCTTCACCTTCATCTTCATCTTCATCTTCATCTTCATCTTCATCTTCATCTAAAAACAATAACATTTATTTAATAGTACAAAAAAATAAATCAAACTTGATAAATACACTAATATTACCATTTGTAGGAAATCCATGGAACCAATTCCGTGCACAAATAAAAGCTTGTACTTTTTTTGGAAGGAGCCTATTTCTATATTTGTTCAAAATATGGGCTCCAACACTAAAGGCGGATTCTGATACTACACTTGTAATAGGAATAGAAAGCACATCACATGCCATTTTAGCAAGCTGCCCATAACTTTGCTTTTTTCCTTTCCAATACAAAAGGACATCTATATCATCCAACTAATTCATTTGCACTTCTTCCAAGTATTTGTCTAAATTAGACTTTAAATCTTGATTGCCACTTTCAGCTTTGCTTCGATAATCAATATAACCCTACATAATTTAAGCATATACAAATATTAACCAATAACAAAGAAACAACATAAGCAACATATGATTAACAACATAAAGAAATTAACTTACAGAAATAAGAGTTTCATCCAATTTTCCATGTCCTCCTCTACTTCTCAATCCTCCTCTCCTTACTCCACAAATCTTTGGTGCCAAAGATTCTTGTGATTGAGAAGTAAAAGCTCCAGAAGATGAAGAACCAACACTCCTTTTCGTATACTCATTGTACAACATATATAATTTGTTCTTTATCCATTCAACCTTGACTTGATAAGTATGTGGATTAAGCATCTTATAACAATATTCCACAAATTGCAATTTCAATCTTGGATCGAAAATAGCCCCCATTGTAAGTATAACACTGTACTCATCCCAATACTTGTCAAACTTCAATTTCATATTCTTAGCCATATCCTTTACTACTTCATCCTCATTTTCCAAATTTTCAAGAAACAAACATTCAATCTTCCAAACTTGAAAAAATACAAATTTGAAGTAGGATAGGATGAACCAGAAATCAAGTTGGTGATGGCATAAAATGGATACAAAAATGCACACATCCTTTCCCCTCTTGACCACTCTTCATCTGAAGGACAACACTTATAATTTCTATCCTTTAATCCAAGAGAGCAAAAAACACGACGATACTGTATAGCACTATCAAGCATAACATAAGTTGAATTCCAACGAGTTGGCACATCCAATGCAAGTCCACAAGTTATATCAACATCAACACGTTGAGCACATTCTTGAAATGATATCATTCTTGCTTCAGACATTTTTACATACTTAATGCTCTCTCTAATTTTTCCTAATCCAACACTAGCAACTTTCAATCCATCTTGCACAATCAAATTCAAGATATGTGCACAACACCTTACATGAAAAAATTCACCACCACAAAGCAAACTATTTTGTAACGAAAGTTGCTGCTTTAGAAGTTTCACCATCACATCATTAGCAGAAGCATTGTCCAAAGTAATAGAAAACACTTTACTATCTATCCCCCAATCTACCAAGCAGTCATAAACTTTCCTAGACAATTCAAAGCCGGAATGTGGAGGAGGCATATCACAGAATGAAAGTATTTTATTATTCAACACCCAATTTTCGTCCACATAATGCACAGTCAAGCATATATAACCGGCATTTGTACAAGCAGTTCACACATCACATGTTAAACAAAGCATACCGGGAATATTTTTCAATATCAACTTCAACCTTTCTTTTTGTCTTTCATACAATTGCAAAACATCCGATGCCACAGTATTTCTAGAAATGAATTGAAAATCAGGATTCAAATACTGACAAAGCAACCTCACACTCCTATATTCAACCCATTTAAATGGAAGATTATGTTCAATTGTACACTGGGCAATTAACTCACGACAAACTTTTTGATCAATGACTCTATTATTCAATTTCCCCTCTTGATCAATTAACATAGCACCCGCATCTCCAAGTACTGGTTTCTTTTTACATATCAACATATGCCGATTTAAAGTTGATGTTCCACTTCCAACATCATGCAAATATGATTTTTTACAATAATTACATATAACCCTCCCTCTACCATCTTCACCTTTGTGAACATCTGAAAAATGATTCCAAACTTCCAATGATTTTCTTCTTTTTTTAGTAGATAAGCTATCACTATCAATTGAATCAGTTTCATTCACACTAGACATTTCTTTTATACCTAAAAATAAAATAAAAATATAGAAATTAAACAATATACCAAAAACATGCAATTTTTAAATAAATAAATTCAATGCATATAATAATTCATCATTTAAATTCCTAAATGAATAAACATATAGCTGCACATTAAATAAACCAAATATTTAAATTATATAATAATTGCATTAAATCTATTGCAGTATAAACTAACACTATGTGGTTGGGATGCAAAAATTGAAGCTAAATGATGGTAGCCATGACTCCATGAGAGAAGTCAATGCAACACAACCCATCTCTCTCACTCTTAAGTCCAATTCTGCTTGTTTTAGAGCAATTATGAAGGTAGGTACTTGGTAGAACTTGCAAATTATCACTCTTGCACATGTTTTACGCCTTAACCGTACCCATCAATTATCATATATACCCATCAATTATCATATATATTGCATTAAAGTCTATGGCAAATAGAAACAAAACAAATTATACACGGCAAATTATAGAATAAGAAATTGAAAATTAAGAAATTGAAATTTGGAATTCTTCTCACATTCCTTCTACATACACAACTGCAAAGACTATAATTAACAGGAATTAAGCAATTTGAAGAGGAAAGAAAGAAAATTTACCTCACTACACAAATCGTCCTTCTTCTTAGAGCAGTACCCACTGTCAGAATCGAAATCAAAACCGCAATTCAATCAGGCAGTATGGAAGCTACACATATCTTGTACATCGGAGACGCAGACGCCCATCGCAGACGATCGGCACCTCGATTCTCAAACTGGGTTCAGCGGAGACGCAGACGATCGGCACCTCGGTTCTCAAACTGGGTTCGACGGAGACGTAGACGCACTTTGCAGACGATCGACGGCGACGCAGACGATCGGCGACGACCCAGACGATCGGCGGAGACGCAGACAATCGGCGGAGATGTTGACGGCCAAACGCAAATTGGGTTCTCACTTCGCGATTCTCAAACTTTTGTTCAAATTGTGTCGCAGGCCCTACAGGGTTACAGACTTACAATGAACTTTGGAAATTACATGGGCCAGCTCAACAATCCATTGGGTTGGCCCAACTCAATCCAATAACCCTATAGGGCCAACCCAGTGAGCTTACATTTTTATTGGATTGGTTTTTTTGGATTTTAGCCCTGAAATTTTTAGGGCTTAATGGGCCAGCCCATTGGTTTAAGGCCAAATTGACATCCCTAGCTGCATGCAGTTTCGCATCAACACCTCTATTCATCATGGCTATAAAAGGAGGACCTAGCCTTCTCTATTCCACCATCTCAATCTCCAATATGTATCTTAAAAAGCGCTTCACCAGAGGAGATTCTAAAAAGCAAAAAGAAATTGCTAAGAAAATCAGGGAAGAGCAAGGAGACCTCTACCCTGGAAACAGTCTTCAAGCTCCCTTAGAAGTCTCTTCTGACAACGAATCATCTCTCTATGATGAAATGGCTGCCTACATTGTTGAAGAACCTGAAGACGCTCCTCCAGTAAAAGAGGAAACCCCTACTGTTCTGCCCAATAAGTGCATTGACAAAGACTACTCTGATTATCTGAAGGAACAACCCAAATGTGAGCTAAACTCGAACGAAGATGGACCTGCTTCGTCTTCAGATTCTAATGTAACACCCCAGATTTTCAAGACTTTTAAAACTTATATAATAAAGATAGAATCTCATTAAATCCAAAAATACGATACAAAGAGTACGGGGTGCTATACCACACCCGAGCTAGAGAACTCGGGTGCACAGGCTAAATTCTAAAACCTCAATCAGTATCAATACTAAATCATGGCACGCAGGCCGAAAGGGAAAACTATCTAAGCTACGCCCCAAGCTTCTAGCGCGCTCCAGTGATCTACTCGTCTGTGCCTGAAAGCCAAATATATCTGTTCGTAGTTCCCTTGGTGGGTGGTGCCTCCGTGTTGACCCGTGGTGGTGGGGCGTGGCCTTTGGGGTTGAGTGCACTGGAAGGCCTTGTGCCCTTCTTCTCCGCAGTTGAAGCATCGCCAGGGATTGCCCATGCAATATTTTCCTCTATGGCTTTTGTTGCATTTTGGGCAAGGGAAGCTTCTTGGGTTTGCTTCATTGTTCCCTAGGGACGGTCTTTGGTTGGTCAGGTTGCTTGGTCTTGTGTTGGTGTCGTTCCTCGTTCTTTTTACCGGTGGTGCTCCCCCTCCGGTGTTCCTTTTTCGTATCTGTTCCTGAACCCCGCGCTGGAGTAGTTGTATTCGATAGAGATTGGCGGCACTGGAGTAAGCCTCGTTGAGTGTCCGAGGTCTGCTTACCACTAGTGCTTTTCGGGCTTCGAAGTTGAGGCCCGAGACGAATCTTTCTATTTTGGTTACTTCGGTGGGGACTAGCTCTGGTGCGAAGCGCGCTAGTTCGAGGAATCGCTTGTGGTATTCCATGACAGTGGCTGTCCCTTGCTTTAGATGGAGGAACTCTTCGTACATGGATGCCTTTACGTGTGTTGGGTAGAATCGTTCTCGTGGTCGTGTTTTGAGATTTTCCCAATTGAACCCCGGGTTCTAGTTAGTAAGCGGGACCCTCGTGGATCCACCAAAGATTGGCCTCGTGTCCGAAGTAGAACGAGACTATCTCCACGCGACATTCTTTTGGGCATTCCAATAACCCGAGAATTTTGTCAAGGGTCCAGATCCATTCCTCCAGGATCACGGGGTCCTCTTCTCCTGAGAACGTGGGTGGTCGATGATTTGAAACTTGTTGGGCGACGTCTGAGTTCATGTTTGATGGAGGAAGCGGGGGCCTGTTGTTGCGAAGAGCTACGTCGCTTAGTGCCTGGGCGACTTGCGTTAGTTGTTGTAGCGTTTGGGTCAGGGGGTCGTGAGTGGCAGGTTCTGGAGTCCTTGATTGTCTTCTGATTGGCGCCATGCTGTCGTCTTTCTGGGTCAATGTTTATAGGAATGTTAAGTTAGAGCTTGGTGCTCTTTGGTGCGATAAGCGGGGGAAAAAGTTCTCTTTAGATGGGGAGGGATAAAGTGAGGGGAGGTTATGTGTAGGTCTCACAATCTCACTGCGCGTCCTAGGATTCCCGAATCCTATGTCCCTAAGTACCTAAAGTTCAAGTCTATGTCCTAAGGTCTGTCTTAATAGTCTTATCCTAGGGTCAAACTTAGGCTCTGATACCAACTGTAACACCCCAGATTTTCAAGACTTTTAAAACTTATATAATAAAGATAGAATCTCATTAAATCGCAAAATACGATACAAAGAGTACGGGGTGCTATGCCACACCCGAGCTAGAGAACTCGGGTGCACAGGCTAAATTCTAAAACCTCAATCAGTATCAATACTAAATCATGGCACGCAGGCCGAAAGGGAAAACTATCTAAGCTACGCCCCAAGCTTCTAGCGCGCTCCAGTGATCTACTCGTCTGTGCCTGAAAGCCAAATATATCTGTTCAGCGAGAGATGCTGGTAACCCACTCCAACGCGTTGAAATACAATACATATATATATATATATATATATATATATATATATATATATATATATATATATATATATATATATATATATATATATATATATATATACGAAAACCATTTTGAACATGAAGATATATCCTACGAACTCTAGCTTTTAAAACA